CCTCATCGTACCAGTTGTTCTTTCGGGCTCGCTGAAATCCAACTACTTCTTCGGCGGCGGTACTTAATGATCGGGAAATGTGGTTCCACTGCTCGCGTACGTCGGATTGTTGCAGAGTGCTTTCAGAGAGCTGGTGTGTTGAGTCGAGTGGCGAATAAATTGGCCGTCTGTTGTGATTGCAGCTTTTCGACGTTAAGCTTTCCTTAAATTTTTTGCTGCACAAAGGCGGGTGCGTATCTTGGCCCTCNAGCGCTCAAATGTACATTTCCAGCGCTCATAGACAAGATCCTTGGACGCCTTATCCTTCACTTCCGTCGGGGCATGGGCGCAGATGAGCGAGATGTTGAAGAATCTAGCTTTGATGTGGATTGTGGCTAGACGTTCGTCCAACGGGGTGAACGCCAGTACTCGGTGACGGGGTCTCACTCCTACCTCGAATCCAACACCGAATTTGCGCTCCTTTACGTGGCAACTGTAGTATACGTCGCAAGGCTTCACGCTTACTTTTCCTAGCCCCGTCCATCGCATTTCTTGGATGGCGGTGATGTCAGCCTTTGTCTTCCCGAGGACATCAACCAGCCGGGCAGAGGCACCGTCCCCATTAAGGGTCCGGATATTCCAGGTGCATACCCTTAAATAATAGCGGTTTATACGTTTGTCGTGGTCGTCATCAGAAAAAGGGGTCTCATCCGAGGCTTTTTAGATTTTTTCTCACTTTAGCTCGCTCCCAAACGGGTGTTTGGTTGCTACCCAGAAGATACGTGGATATAAATATCCGGACGTTGTGAGCTGCAATTTGAACCGTACGCACAAGAATCGCTTCTGGCCACTCCCAGGTGAATGGCAGTCAAAAGTTTTCCACTTCTGCGCACGGAACCATCCTCCAACGAAATATAAACTGGGACGCGACATTTTAGCAAGTTCCAATAATTTGTTTGGTTTACTTAATGCTTATTATTTTATTTTAAACTTGCTGAAATTTTTATACATATATGTAATACTTCTATATTGATAGTAACGTATCTTCACAAAATATTTTTATTACCAACTAAATGTTGGGAGTGTCTATTTACACGCGCCACGGTAAAAATTACCGTAGATCCATGGTAAAAATTACGCCGAAAGAAGTTCTGTCCCACTTCTCTGGCAACACAGAAAGGAGAATTCTGAGTAGTAAGGGTTATAATCGCTAAGTGCGGCCGAAG